CCCCTTTGTACTATTTATTCATCTTTCACATATTAATCTATTATAAATACTTTTCTATTATACATTTCTTACTGCTAATTTGTATATAACGTCTTAAAAACTATATAAGTGGTACATAACTGCCTTAGTTGTGCGCCCGCAGGCGATTTGTGCCGGGCGTCCTACTTATGCTACCCTGCCCCCCGCTTCAGGTGTATAAGTAGTCGCCCTAGCTGCGTATGCGCTTATCTACGCGAGTCGGATCAAACAGGCATATTCTCTATTTTACTCACTATTTCAACCGAATACCTGTTTGATCCTTATTAGAATAAAACGAGACACATATACAAACTTTATTTCTACCACTTAAGACTATTAGAACAAATTAGCGTACAACAAATAAACCATAAACTATTTACACAAATGTAACGCAATACTTTATACAATGCGCAGACTTAAAACCACTCGTTGAGTGCAGCCGTACCGTACCCTAGATGTAATTAATTCTATTTATTAATTTTATTTATAAAAAGTTATAATTATTATAATACCAAGTGACGGAACGAACAAATGCGCCTGGTGGTGAGCTACACGCCTGTTATATAGTTCCAGTGCAACACAGACCTTTAAATATGAGCGACATTGCCACTGTGCACCTCATCCTGAGACATAAATTGACAAGTCCCATGTGCCTGTAATTTCACCAGCACCCTTACTCTTTCAAATTGGAACGCAGTAATGCTCACATTACTGCTTGGAGCCAGAAATAGGTCAGGCTGTACGTCTCTGAACGAATTCTTTAACAAGGAGCTCTACTGCTACCAAAATCGGTATCTTTCCTACATATTAGCAGGGAACGAAAATAATGCACTTTAGTTCCACAATAAACCACTAAAGTACCTACTAAACAAACGTGCAATTAGATGAGCTTTCAGCTCCACAGAAAGTTTAGTAGCAGTAGAGCTTGTGAAAAGGATTCGTCCGGCGAAGTACTGCCACCTTACCTATTTCTGCTGCCAAGCAGTAATGTCAGTATTACTGTGTTCCGGTCTTGAAGGGTAAAGGTGCTGGTGAAATTACAAGCACATGAGACTTGTCGACTTGCGTCTCAGAGTGACGGGTACAGTGGCAGTGCCCCTCAGATCTTTGCGATTTAAAGCTCTGAGTGGCACTGCAAGTGTTATGAACAGGCGTGTAGCTTACCATCAGGCGCACGACTTGTTCGTCCCGTCACTTGATATGATAAAAAAAAATTTAGATCACGTGTATCTACTGGTGTAGTGCGTCGTCTGAGGAACGTGCACTACCCGTGTATTATTAAATGAAACTCACGTAGTTGGCCGTTTTATACCGGTACAAAAGGTTAGTTACATGTGTAGTTATTACGTACAAAGTTCAATTGCACTGCTTCTGGCTCTTTTATTACCAATGAGAGTAATAGCAAATAAGCTACAAGGTATTTAAAACACCATATTATACTCAACAATTGTTGTGATGTTATATTGTCATTTCAACTCTGCGATAAATCGAATGAGATGATGGATGTTGCACTTTAATATACTGCCTGAAACAAAAGCTATTTCCATAAAGTTCTTATGTAACTTGTAAAGTAAGTTGCAAAAAAATTGAAACATCTCCGTAACATAGGCACCAAAAGATGTAGTTTCCTAGAATAATGGACAATCTAAAAATATGCGTTACGACCTGTTGTTATTGTTTGCTTGAATATTTCTGAAAAAATAAATAGGAAAATATGGGCAATATTAAATTTTAACTTTATAATAATAGCTGTTTACTCATAAAACAGTCTTAATTTAGCTCGTAGAATTATGAACGAGGCTATCAGTTAAGTATGAATATTAATCTCAGTTTGGTACGACTTTATCGAGTAGGCGTTACGGTAAAACGTTATCGGACCGTAATTCACTAAAACTTAGCGGAGAAGCGTTTTTGTAACAATAGTAGGTATTTCTTTATTTTGACAGCTCCACGCCGCGCCGTAGTAGTAAAAGTAACGAATCTCTATTCGTTGATCTCCTTTCCGTTCTTATTTCGTAAATAATAAGCCGATATCGTAATAGGCTGAGTATAATTTACCTAAACATACGACTACATACTCGTAGAGTAGTTCCATAGTAAAAAAAATAGTGCAGTTCTCCCCTCTTCGGCGCGTTAGTGCTTACACTTCGCTCGAAGTTTAGTGTTGTCACATTATTACTTTGTACCCACATGTTGTAAACACAATTGGAAAAAAATTAAGATGTTCACGTATACTAGAGGGTCACGTATCTTTGACATGGACTGTACTCTAGTGCCATACTTAAATAACCTTCGTTGAATGCAGTTTACAGAGTACAACAAGAAACACGTCTACTATTTGATATCAGTTTTAAAACACCGAATGAACGCTTCAATTTTAATGAACAACGCGTGTGACAACCCGCGTTATGCAATGTTAGTGCACCTCGAGATTATGCGAATGTGTGCGCACACGCACAATGCGTGTACACGGCGCCAGACACCCACATACAAGCCGTGCTGCTACGTTTGAATGGAGTTACACTACTTGTCTTTTTATAGTAGTAGTACTCGGAAATACCTAAATAATTAAAATTAAAGGAGTTGCTACAGATTCCAAATGAACGTATTTGATGACTTTACCATCTCAGTCAGCCTAGTCAGTGAGACGTGTAAAGAGTCCGAAAAGTTATTTTGTTTGAAAAAACAAATATGCGCAATTCAGATTAGAAATTTTCAGTTTATTTCCAATAGCATTATTTTTAATGATAATTATAAAATATTTTTTTCTAGATACACTATTGTAGTATAGTAATTACTAGTTTTTCAGCATAAAACAATATACAATACAACTGTATTAAGCGTTTAAAGTACAGGGAAATAAAATCTACATAATCCGATCTCTGCTAACACGCTTTTGACCTGTAGGTGTAGTTCTGCTGTTTTGCCCTTAAAAGAAAAAGCAATATTGTTGACTTTATTTTGTACACTGTTGTTGAAAAGCATGACCTTTTATCTAGTTCTAAAATAATAAAAATTATAAACAATATTTACTTTATTCAAGTAATTTCCATTAAACCAGATAAAGCAGCGAATTTTGTTTAAAAGCTTCAACTACTATGTTGAATATTAGGGAGCTTTCCCATCATGTCGCAACGTTTTATGTTTTCTTTTTTCTCTGATTACTATGTTACGTAGTTTTGTGAACACAGACAAGTTAATTTAGCAACTGATGCGGAATTATTGTACAAAATGCAAGTATCTTTATTTTGTACGCTAATTTTGACTTGCAATCTTTAAATTGATTAAGCATTGCCACTCATTATTAAAGCAGATTCCCTTGAGTAGAATGAGTAAGGTATGCATTTTGTAAGTAAATTGTTCAAATTTATCATTTACAAAATATATATAAAAATGTACGTAGACATGAGACAACCTTAGAGAGCTAAAAGGTCACTACCATTACTAAAAAAAAATAACTGTCGTAGTGGATAAAATAAACCAAGCTATAAAGCGATGTCTACTATTTAATATACTCTGCAGAGTCAGAGAAAGTCTAAGTTAAGAGATTTTACTCTTTCAGGGCACGTTCTCATTATGTCGTAACGTTTGATTTATCGTAGGATGACTGTCGTGTCTAGCCTGTTCCCATATCACGACTATCTGTCGTGACTGTGTCATGGCCGTTTATTTTATCGCTGACCGACTGTCGGGTCTAGCTGTTCCCACTAGATCGAGACGACAATCTATCGGTTCACGGCTGCCGCCTTATCATTTGCACGACACAATCGTTTGAAGCTGCTATTATCTGTCGTCACATTTTTATCATGACGTTTTATTTATCGTCATATGACTGTCGTTCTAGCTGATCTCATTGTCACAACAGTCTGTCGTCGTAACGTGAAAAAGTCGTGAACGACAGCTAATCGTGTTTTACTATATGTGAACAACTTCATTTAAATATACGAGGTACGCCACTTTAAACTGCACGACTATCTGTCGTCATGATATCGCATTCCCATTATATGAAAGGTATTCGTAAGGTTAGCGGAACAAAAATTGTTGTCTAAACCGAAAATTACGGATATAGCTTGTACGTTAGAAGCACATCAAGCGTGACATTATGGCCTTTGGATTCTTTTCATTGTAAGTGGCATACCGAAGAATTTAAATTTCGTATCCTTGGCATAATAAAACCATACATGGATCATCGTTGAGAAACCGATCAGCACGCGGAAACACGAGTTTGGTGTTTGCTGTTTTTGTCGAATAAACAAGGCAAATACTTTGTCACACATACTATCTACACGTGGTGATTGTTTGCAAATATGTCAAATAGGCAATACAAATAACCATGTAAAGTACCACCATCACAATAATATTCAATGTTGACTTGACGACCTTGGTGGCCCAACAGTTTGCACAATAGGCGATAAGTGAGGAGGGAACCTGGAAGGGTTCTACTCCCGGTAGGACCAATTTAGAAAATGATCTTTTCTATTTTTTTTCTGTTTGGGTGTTTGGAGTAGTACCCCGGAGTAAAATTCGTTGTTCTGCCCAAAGTACAGAGAATTGCCAATGTGTGACACCAAGTGACGGGTCGAACAAGTCGTGCGTCTGGTGGAAAGCAACATAACAGTTGCAGTGTCACTCGAGAGCTTTAAATCGCAAACATCTGAAGGGCACTGCGCCCGTCACCCTGATTCATAATTTGACAAGCTCCATGTGCCCGTACTTTCACCAGGACTCTTAACCCTTCAAAACCGGAACGCACTAATGCTCACATTACTGCTTGGCAGAAGAAATAGGTAAGATGGCAGTACAATCCCTGGATGAACTCTTTCACAAGTAGCTCTACTGCTACTAAAGCTACTACCTAGTGTGAGACAAGGATTTGGTGTGGTTGTCTGGCACATAAATGTGTAGTTAGAAGTCAATGGTTAGTTCCTTCATATTGCTATCCCAACGTATTTTGTAATAAAGAAAATTCTATCATGTTTCAGCGTACAAGCACCAGTCTATGGGGAGAGTGGATGGGCGTGATGCATGGTGACGAGATGGAATATGTTTTTGGACACCCTTTGAACATGTCTCTTCAGTATCACACAAGGGAACGGGACCTTGCCGCTCATATTATGCAATCTTTTACCAGATTTGCTCTCACTGGGTAAGTTCTCCATAAGATCTTTTGGGTGACAAATTTCTTCTCCATAGTATTAATTTTACAACATCTATGTTTTAGTTATTGGTAGAAGAATCAGGAAAAACATTCCTCCAAGATTCCAAAATTCTTTAACGAGTCTCTTTTATTTCAACTACAAAAGTGGAAAAAAAACGCAGAAAAGTTGACCTGCCCGCAAAGGGAAATAAAAAATTCGGCCATCAAGCCAAATGAATGCCATTTAGTACTTACTTAAGTAAAAAAAGCCAGTGGAAATCGTTTCATGTGGATGGTTTGCTACTGGTACCTACTGTAATATAGTGGTACTTAACGCAAATTGTTTTTCCATAAGCTGATACACTTTATACTTATTTACTCAGCGTGTATGGAGTAGTAAAAAATGGGTCTAAAGAGAATCAATAACTGAGATATAAATAAAGACGTGACCGGAATTTGGTTCAGTCTAAATTTACCTTTGTTCTCTTTTGCTACTGTTATTATAGCCTCGGTTACTTTTATACCTTTGGTTCATTATTTTATTTCAATCGATTACCTCTAGTTACTTATTTCTACTGTAACAGTTAAATGCTTTTAGCTTTCTTTTGTAGTTTTATAATACCAGACAACGTTCTTATGGTAGGGCTTACAATGACATCTACAATTTTGCATTGAAATGAATATTTAAAGCGACACCTGTTGGCAACCTTGCAGAACTTTGTGCAGATAAGGCATCAACCAACATTTTTCACTCCTGACCTAACAATGCTATTATTGCAACTATTCTCCGTATTAATTAATATTTTTACAGCCTTTTGTAAATGTACTTACTTCAATTTAACGTTTTGTATTAAATACTTTTTAATTTCTGCTATTCCAGAAAACCGAATAAACCAGATGAAAAATGGAGTTTATACTCTCGTTCATCGCCCCATTACTACACTTACACGGCAGACGGCCCCAGCGGTATGGCAGGGCCTCGAGGGCCTAGAGCCTCGGCCTGCGCGTTCTGGAATGACTTCCTGAATAAGCTCAACGGTGTGAAAGGCACATTTCCTTTCTCCTTCCCTTTTCGATGTTTTCTGTTTCCGTTTTCGTATTAACATTCTTTAATCAAGATATCTGCTGCTCGACCTCGTACACGTCAGTAGGAATCCCGTTATTCAACTTTAAACGACTATGATGTAAAAGTCGTTTCAGATAAAAGTATTATATCGATGTGACAAAAGCGCATTTAATAAATTTTTCGATTAAAACATTTGAGCAACAATATCTTGATTTAAGATCTACTCACACCACGTATTACAAACATACCTATTTGTTACCTTTCACATATTCACGATGTTTTATATCCACCAATCATAACGCCTCTTAACTTTATTGTAGTTTGGTTTTTCACATTATTAAATTATTATAACTTTTTATAAAATAAAAACCGACTTCAAAGTTTGCTTATCCGCTTTGGCTGTGTTCGTTACATCTATTTGGCATACTTTTATTGAAGTCTATTAACGGAAAGTGGGTGACATTCACATAAACCGCATTCGTCCCCTAATTTGTCACCCTAAGAAAAAAATTTTCTTCAAATTCGAATGAAAAATAATCGTCGAAATCGGTTCACAAATTTTGGAGTAATCGCGTAAGATACAAATAAAAAAAAACAGTCTAATTGGGAACCTCCTCCTTTTTTGAAGTCGGCTAAAACTTATATCGCAATAAATTTTATCACATAAACACTGAACATATTTATCTTTATTTCGCATATTTTTTATTTGTTTATAAAATAAAGAAATTAGATTCTCGTTTTACAGAAATGGAAAACAAACCATGTGATAGAGCTGTCACCGGACCTTACAGCAGCGTGGCTGGGACAAGTCTACCTATAATTTTGCTTACTGCCCTCGCAACAACCGTTGCACTGTAAATCGTAAATAATGACACTGAAGTGATAAGAACTTACATGTTTTAGATCTCGAAGACCGTAGGTAGATGAATATTTATATACAGCTTTGGTATATTTAGACGACCGTAAATACAGAGCTACTTTTGTATAGGTAATTAACAAAATTTGTGGATTATAATATGAAACACATTTTCGTAAATAAAAATACATTCATAAAAAAAGCGATGTTCTCTACGTTATGGTTCAGTAGATAAACATTTTGCAGATAAAAACAATTCCGAGATGAAACCTATAATAATAGCGTCTAAGAGCGGTTACACACGACTACTTTAAGCAGCGATGCAAACGCGCGATTGCATCGCTACACTTGTGATTTATAAGCCGTTGCATCGATGCACACCTGCGTCTGCATCGATACAATCGCGCGTTTGCATCGATGTAATAGCCTATAAATCGCAAGTGTAGCGATGCAATCGCGCGTTTCACGAACGCGCGCTATGCATAGCTGCTAAAAATCGCCGTGTGTAACCAGTCTAACTCTTCCCATAAATTTTGTTTATATACCTGTAAAAGTAATCTTTTGTAATAAAAATGCTGATATCTGTTCGGCTTGTTTTCAACACCTCAATGGTTAGAAGTTAAAAGTTAACATTAAAAAATAAGTTTAAATAGCGTTTGTAGATGACATTAGGTAACTAGACTCGATGAAATGTTTGGAAAAGTATTTTAATGAGAAGCGATTTAAAGAATTGCTGCGAAATATTTTTGAAATAGAGATGAAAAAACTTGAAAGATTTTAGTCGTCGATTGTTATAAGAAATTTAAGGGAACTGATCGTGTTATTGTAATTAGAAAGATTATTTATACCTATATGTACATAAGAGGCTTACACTTTCGTGGTAAATATACAGAGGTATATAATACTTTATAAATGTAGAAAAAAAATCAAGTCGATTCTAATTAAGTATTATAGTAACTTGAATATTAATTGATTATGTTAGTTATATGTTGGAGGTAATTTAGTTCCACGATGTTCCTGTAAGTCGTAGTTGATTTGTATGTTTGGTGTTCTATTTGTTTAAAGATGTATCTATTTCATGTTTTAGTAATGTAAGTACAAGTATTGGAAGATAATTATAAGTTCATATAATAATTGGTGTGTGTAAAGTAACTAGTACAATGTATTGTCAGCTTTCGTTGAAGCAGCTGTGCTTTCACACACAACAGATGGGTTAGTGTCACTGAACATATCAACGTGTGCCTCTGCTTTAATAGCAAAATGATACATATCTTTATTATAGCAAAATTTTAGAATTTTGTATATCAAAATTAAATATATGTCGAGTGTATACTGAGATGAATTTTCATCTAGATTTACTAAGTACTAATATGTATTTAGAATGCTACTAAATTCGTACCACTTGCGGATCTTATGAATTCCAAATTCTTATGACTTCGAACAGATAATAGTATTTTGTAAATAATCCTTTCTTAAGGTTAGGTCTTATAGACTATTTAAATACTCGTATGAATATGATATAATCAAGAAATGTACCTATTTATTGTCAAAATTACGAGGCGTTTTTTTAAACTTGTCAGGCCTTTTTCTTAGATGACGTAGCAATATATTTTATATTATAATGCTTTTCCGATTTACTGCCATTTGGGACAAACACTGTGACCAAATCGTTTGTAGAGTTAATTTTCTTTAGAAAAATTAAGTCCCTTATGCATTTTGCTGAAAAGACTAATAGACTAATCTGTGTTACTACCCACTAATCGCAATGTTTTTCAAGATAAGTGGTTATTTCCAAATGTATTTAGTTGTAAATTAATTTATACACTATCAACGCCAGAATTCAAATGCCTACACTTCAATAATTAAAATATACCGATCATTTACCTAATGACCGACTCATAATTTCAGAGTGAAATAGCGCCATATTATTTGTTGGTGTTTTACGACTCCATTTCTTTAAAACAAAAAGTATTATTTACGTGTCAAATGAAGAATTTTAAAATGGCTACGTAGTAAATACATAACGATTTTACGCAACACAATATCAGCAAATTAAATGATCGAAGAAAAATTAATAGCGTATTGATATTAATATCATTGTCTAATTAGACGCCTTAGCCTGATCTGAAAGACGAAAAATTGTACCACTATTAAAATTATTACAACTAAATTAAATTAAATACCTGTTATTAAAAAAACGCCTCATCGCGAGAGTTGTATGTATACATTTGTATTATATTTATACTATGTATACTGTATAAACATATATCACACTTATACATAATGCAGATTGCAAAGTGTAGCATTATAATAAATAACAATTTATATAACACTGCAGTTTTATACATTGGATTCGATACTATTACCTGTATAAATAATCAAAATGAAATATTGGAATTAACTATGGCGATTGAACCTACAAATTATTATGCATCCTATTGCGCATTTCAAGTCAAGATTGTTATCGTCGCTAATGAGAGTCCTTGGTATTTAAATCAATAACTAGCTTCTGCTTGTGACGTCATCCGCGTTGAAAATTCACCCAATCTACTATCTCAGGTTATTGACCAAACATAAACCAAATTTTATCTTAGTAACGGACTGTTTCGACGATAATTAGGAACAAACATCCATCCGATCATCCACAAATTCTTATTCATATTAATATTTCTACAATCACTTGAATTTTCTTATTTTCACCACACGCCGTGAATATTTTAAAATAACGAAGCACGATTGTTATTACTATTGATACAAAAACCCAATAAACACAAAGAAAAATTCCTTTGATCTTGCTGAACTCCGAGTCAATGGCTGAGTGAAGAAACTTTCATTTCGTTTTGGTTTTTTGACCTGTTATGATGACAGTTCTCTAAGGTCAAAAAGCCTTTTAGAATCCAATACAAAGAACTGCAACGAGAATATAGCAAAATTCGCAAGATCTACTGCTCGTTCTGTGGCACTGTAGGAAGAACTGGTTCGAGTGTAGTCATGTCATCGAAGGAATTTTTCTTTGTCTTTCTATCAATAATAATAATAATAGTTCTTGGTCTTTGTATCAATAATAATAAATATCAAGGTAATAAAAACATCAAGATATTCATTTACAAATAAATGAAACACTATTGGTTGCTGAGACAGCTCTGCTTCGTTACGTTCTGGTAGATGACATCAACGTCAGACTTGTCTTCAATTAAATCACTTAGATATTTCTAGATCCGGGAATGCAGTTCCATGAAAATACGAATTTTAACAATGTAATGCAATTATTTTTCAACCTGACCTCTATGTAGCTTACCAATGCTTTAAGTGAAAATTGTCTTATGAACTTAGTAAACACTTTAATAAAATATTTATATAACTAGTAAATATTAGTTTTTAACATTTTATACGAAATTGTCAATTACTAACATTGGACGAGCTCAGAAATTGTTTGGGAACAGTGACAAAATATTACAATTTTTTTACAAAACATTTCCAAAAGTAACGAAGTTTGCTTTTGTCATTTGAAATGAGGCAAGTATAAAGGAGCCCTCCAAAAAGTATTCTGAATAGTGTGTTCACTGTGTCCAGTGTGTTGTTCGCTTCCATACCACAAACCACCTACCTATAATCGTCCCTTACAGCAGTAAGGGCGCCTACAAATTAAATGCTTGTAGCAGCACTGCAGTGGCGCAACAGCCACGCGTCTCTTCAGTAATTTTTAGTTCACTAATTGTGACTGCAAAAGTGGAACGCGTGTCACAACTGTGGCGCTGCCAAATATTGTATGAAAATTGATAGCGGCGCGGCTGCCACAAAGGTGCTACTGCAGTGCTTCTATAAGCGTCTATTTTAGAGGCGCACTAATAGATGTAAATTATAAATTTAGACGACTAATTACGTCAAGACACACAACATCAAATTCTGAATTGTACGTATCTGAATTGTAATTTACCTACGTAAACCATGTTCTCCGTCAAAATTATAAGTTGCGTCATTACTTGATAAAGGAATCGTAATATAAGTATGGAAAGTACTCATGTCAGTTAAAACACATAGACTGTTGAAAGGTAAGAGAAGCTAGGCGGCAGTTAGGACGAAAATGAGTTATATGTACCTAAGTTGAAAAGGTGGTAAAATGAGTTATAGGTAAGCTAAGTAACAAAATTTGTGAACAATATAGAAAGTCCACCACAACAAAATTTTCATAATTTATAACAGGCTTCTGATTAATATTAATCGTTTAAATGGTAATCACCGCAAGCTCCATTTAAAGAAAAGGGTAATTGACAATGTTTTGTATAATTTAAATGATGTTTAAAAAGGGACATCAAATAATTGAAAATTGTGTAGTATATTCAATTTTAATTTATAAACTTTTAGTTTGTATTACGTTTTAATTGAATCTTGATAACTGTAGGTAATCTTAAGAGATTGTACGCGCGACTTGGGTAAGAACTGTAAATCAAATCTCATGTGACACCTTTATTTTACCGGTTCATTCAATAAATGTTTCTAATTTGCGAAAAAGATTAACTGTATTTAATAACATGTGATAGATCTTCCAATATTATCCACAAACACTACCTAAGCGTAACTTATTCTTCTTATTAATTATCAACCTAGTCGCTTAGCTTCTACTGACCATCAACTGTCTATATGACACTTTTAATTTCTATCGCAGCGAATCTAGACACTCAAATAATGGAATAAAATATTTCCAATGTAAGTAAGAAAACGCAGCTTTGTTTTTAAGTAGAAGTTCGATGTTCTTCGAGAAATATAAAGAGGATAACTTCTAGAATCCTCGAGAGTTGCACAATTTTCGTTCTATTAATTTCTAAGCACAATTTGACAAGTTGTATGGGATAGCTTTAATTAGTTAAAAATTAAGACGTTAAGTGTTAGTAAACCTAATCAAATGTCATCGTTTTTATTCAACGCATTATATTAGTATTAATAGGGTGTTTGACAAGTACCGAAAAATAAATTTTCATTAACAATGAAAATAAACTAAAATTGATGGTCGTAACGGAAAGCAGAATAGAAATTCAATTAAACATAACATAGTACACTGTAACTGTTCAATAAATCAAGAGTTAGACTTTAATGATAAAAGTCCCTAGTGTTGAGATATCAGAAAACGAATTTCAGATTTATTTTCAGCATATACGTTGATAGACGTTTTTTTTGTCAAATACCCTATTTCTTTCTTATGCAAAATGTTACATGACTATCTTGACAGATTATTATAATCCTTTCACAGGCCTAAAACAATCATTTACTGTATTTCATTAACACCT